ACTACAACTACTACTACTACTACTACTACTACTACTACTACTACTACTACTACAACTACTACTACAACAACTACTACTACTACTACAACTACTACTACTACTACTACTACAACAACTACTACTACAACTACTACTACTACAACTACTACTACTACAACTACAACTACTACTACTACTACTACTACTACTACACTACTACTACTACTACTACTACTACTACAACTACTACAACTACTACTAACTACTACTACTACAACACTACTACTACACAACTACTACTACTACAACTACTACTACTACAACTACTACTACTACTACTACTACTACTACAACTACTACTACTACAACTACTACTACAACAACTACTACTACTACAACTACTACTACTACAACTACTACTACTACTACTACAACAACTACTACTACTACTACAACAACTACTACTACTACAACAACTATTACTACTACTACAACTACTACTACTACTACTACAACAACAACTACTACTACAACTACTACTACTACTACTACTACTACAACTTCTTCTACTACTACAACAACTACTGTAGTACTACTTTACTATAGACCCGTGAAGATCCGGGTTAAAATTGGTCTTCAGCAACCCAATTAAGCCTGTGACTTGGTGACTTGGTTGACACATATCATCGTATCCCACTGTTGATCACTTGATTGTCTGGTCCAGACTCGATTATTTACAGACCGCCACCATATGGCTGGACTATTGCTGAGTGCGGCCTTAACAAACAAACAAACATTCTACTACTACGACGACGACCTCGTCTACCACGGCGATTTTAATTCAGATACATGTATTCGGTCGTAGTTCCTTTATGACGTGTGGACGACCTTTGTTCTGCAATGACGGGTCAACATAGCGGAATGACACAGCCTGCACTGAAGGAAGTCTGTATCTGCAAAGATAAACATGTTATGAATTTGAACCTCCGTCAAGTAAACAAGGATGACCTTTGACAATAACCTTGACCTCATTATATACCCAAGCAGCAGACAACGTAACATAGCGGAAATAGCAGTTGTGTATTCACCTAGGGGCATGAGAAAAACACAGTGTAGTTATAGTATAATCTCGTTAATCCGGACACCCCGAGCTTTGGGCACTGCATGCAACGTCTGTGAATCAATTATTCGTCTTTTTGACGAAGTGGGGTGCTGAAGGCATATTAGGGTTGGAGTTCCAAAGCGATGGAGGGTGGTGGGGTAACCTAGTGGTTAAAGCGTTCGCTCGTCACGCCGAAGACCCGGGTTCGATTCCCCACATGGGTACAATGTGTGAAGCCATTTCTGGTGTCCCCTCCGTGATCTTACTGGAATATTGCTAAAAGCGGAGTAAAACCATACTCACTCACTCACTCTCTCCAAAGCAACGGGAACCTCTATTTAAACGATTGGTTGGTTTGATTATTTACAGACCGCCGCCATATAACTGGAATATTGCTGAGTGCGGCGTAAAACAAAACTCACTCACTCCTTCATGTATAAGTATTATTTCATGCCATAGGTATTGATAGTACCGTATATGTTTGTTTGTTGTTTGTTCACATATCTGCTTAATTGAGTGAGGGAGTGAGTGAGTTTTTTACATCGGCATTATTTCAGACATAGAGCGACAAGTGAGTGAGTGAGTTTAGTTTTCGCCGCACTCAGCAATATTCCAGCCATATGTCGGCGGTCTGTAAATAATCGAGTCTGAACCAGACAATCCAGTGATCAACAGCATGAGCATCGATCTACGCGATTGGGATACGATGACATGTGTCAACCAAGTCAGCGAGTCTGACCACCCGATCCCGTAAGTCGAATCTTACGATCAATTCTAACCCGGATCTTCACCGGTCTTTATAGACGATGGGACAGCGATCGACTTAGAGTACCTTAATATGTTACTTCGCACCGCCTGGATTCAGGTTTCACTAGATCTACTATAATCAGATATAGAATATTATAATTATTTGCAGATCAAAATACATGCATGTAGCAAAGAGGGTTCAGTTACCCTTGCCCCCCTCTCCCCCCTGCCCCCCTCTCCCCAGACAGCGAATAGGACTGCTCCAAGGAAGAGCTGTCTCGTCTAACCCAATAAGAACTTTTCGGAGAATGTGACCTCTCGGCACTGCAGCCTTCAGGTAGTAGGGTTCGAACTCACGTCCGGTGGATCCGGGTGACAAAGGGGAACAACTCTGCAGAAGGAGATGCGTCTTCTTGGACTGTATGTACAGGTGACGTAACTTACAGTAAATAGCTGAGAACTTAGCTTTGCTCGACAATGTTTCATCCATAAGCGGCTGGTACCTTATAGTAGACAGAACATATGCTACAAACAAAACGTATGGGAATACCCTAAAATTTGATAGTCAAGTATAAACTTAAACGTGGTAATGCCATTTATACTCTAAAGCAATTACAACTTTTTGTGTGCTTAATTGGGCACTTTAAACGACAGGTTGGAACATGCAGTGAAGCAACTGATTCAATATTCGTTGAGTGTGAGAGAAATGAAACAATGTCATAACAGCGAAAAACAAGGGTCTGAAACACACCAAAACACCATGTTTGATTCAAACGCCCAAACACAACAGCCTAGTGCATGTGGAAGACAGAATTTCCATGCCGTTTGTGGCAACGGTTGTAGTTTGTGGCAACGTTGGAATCAAACATGGGGCTGGTGTGCTTCAGCATTTTCCTTAGAGTATAAATGACATCACCACATATAAGTTTATATATGACTATTAAATTTTAGGGTGTTCCCATACTATTTGTTTGTAGTATCTATTGAAACCTGGAAAAACGTAGTCTTGATAGGACTGTATTAAGGTCCATGATTTATTTCCATCATAAAATACCAACATAATAAAATAAAAAACAATTCAGTTGAAAAAATAGTTTTACTACAAAATCCGACATTTAAGTTACACAAAAAGGCCAGTACAAAAGTCAAAGAAAGAAATATCAGAAAATATTTGACATATACATATACTAATATAGATATTTTACCACAAACGTACATTTTTAAAAATATAAATGACGTAAGTCTTGCCCTACTTTTTATGACACGTCCAGTGTGGCTATTTACAACTTGAACATTTCCACTTGTTCAAAAACACGCACGCACGCACGCACGCACGCACGCACGCACGCACGCACGCACACACAAATAGACTTTCGTCGATATTCCTGGTTCCCTTAACAAGTTACGTTAAAAAAAGGTTACGTGTCAAGTTTTCCCCATGAATCTTCTGGAAACTGATAATGTCAAATGAAAATAACAGGATATTATTCATACGTTGCAGACAAAAACCGTGTTGCTAGGTAACATTTTAATGTATTTATATCTTTCTCAGATATATGGAAAGTAACTAAATGTTAGTTTTCATCTTCAAAGAAACATTTTGTGTTTAACACACATATGAAGATTCACATCTTCCTCCAACTGAATAATCAGAATAACTATCAGAATATTTCAGCGTTTATATATACATATACGAGTATGTGAGTATGGTTTAATCACGCTTTAGCAATACCCCTGCAGTGTCATGGAGGAAGATACCACAGAGGCGCAGGTTACATTTTTCCCATTTGGAATCGAACCCGGAATCGTCGGTGTAACGAGAGAACGCGTATCCACTAGCCTACCCCACAGCCACCGTGATCTGCGATAGATTTGGCAGTATGAGACGCGTCATTGATGGTATGGTATGGTATACACTACACTACTACGAGATGCCCCTGTTTTGTTTATATGATGAAAAGGAAAGTCTTACCACACCTTTAGGGGAAACTGTGCCTGTGTTATTGTACAGATGATGACGTCACGCTGTTATTGCAATTGACCCTGGGTCAGGAATTCGGAGAGAGAGAGAGAGAGAGAGAGAGAGAGAGAGAGAGAGAGAGAGAGAGAGAGAGAGAGAGAGAGACAGACAGACAGACAGATAGACAGAGATGTAAACACAGGGTCACACCTCGTTAGCTCTCTCTCTCTATCAGAGCTTTTAAGTCAACATAAAGGGTTTTCTTAGTTGCATAATAACTTTGTTTATTAATTATAAGAGACCGTCGTTGTGAAATTTGGAATAAAGTTAACTTTTGAAAACCATCCATATTTCCTTCGCTTACCACAGAACGCTCAGTCAACTTTCCCCACTTCAGAACGCTCGAAGGACCGAGTATTGGATATTCTGAGTTGAGTTTTACGGTTAAGATTGATCATTTGCTCACCAGATGTCCTAAACCAAACTGCGTGGGTGAGCACATAATTCACGTGGATGGTTCCCTCTCCCAGAAATTGGATATATATGTCATGAAGCAGCTATCGTTAAACTATTTCGTTTCTGACAACATTCGTAGCTGCCTCGAGTTGTCGTATCGTCATCCCCAGTCCGTCTCAAAATCCCACATCAGCACAGAACCACTTTATTTTCCTTTCCGACCAACCCTTTCTGCAATGGAAGACCCCTCCAAGAAGTAAGTCTAGATATCTCCAGGTTCTGAATCACTGAGTTCACTGGCGCTCGTTTTCAATTTAAATGGAGTTATTTGCTTTTGTTAGAATTATATACATATTCAGAGACTAAACATAGGTCCACGTCATCCCATTGAGCTTAAACTACTGAAAATACGATATGCTATATACTCATGGAAACAAATACGGGAACACATGAAAGTAAAAGTGTTCCTTTATTTATTTCCAGAACTTCACCCAAAGTGCAATGCATACCTTGTGAAGAAAATCTGGAAAAGAATAAAGGAACACTTGTACCTTCATGTGTTCCCTTATTCGTTTCCATGAATATATATTCGACCCAGGTATTTCGAGTAAACGGGGTTTATCACATGGGTCAACACGAATATTCTAGGTATCTATACGACATACAGCGTTCACAAAAAACGTAAACTGCATTTGAAATAAATAAATGTCCCTGTTTGTGTGAAGAAACCTCAACGATTTCTTTCGGAAAATGTCATCATGTTCAACATGTTTATTTTCTGTCACAGGCGCACTTGGATATCTTGACGAGTTCAGATCGGAACTTCTGACAACACAGACTATAAACAATAGGATTAGCCACACTGTTAATGAAGTACGACCGCAGTCCAATGTTGAAGGCAAGCTCGGCAAGGTCGCCACTTCCGCTCAAAGATTTCGCATCCAAGGCCTTTATTGTCATCAGAACCAAATGGGGGAGGAAGCTGAGGATGAATATGAGCGTGATGAGGAACAGCATGAGGGTCGTACGAAGCGCGTTTGTTTCCCGCTTCGACAAGTTGGGCAAAACGGACTGACGTCGATCAAGCGTTCCTCTGCGCATCGACACCTTACGTGTGGTCGAGCTCTGCTCACGTGACACTTTACGGTTCATTTCCGGTTTGACTAGAAATGTTGGTGATTCGGGTGACAGTCCTTCCGGTGAAGACGGACTGCTCATGCTGGACACGCTTGAACATTTACGCGTCTTCACGATAAGCTTCCTTGGTGGTTTTCTGGCGCCATATTGTTTCCGGTCACGCGGTACGTCGTTGGGGACGTGACCGGAAGGGGAGATAAAGCCTGTGGCGTGACAGTCGTCTGTCGCCGGACTGGTCTCGGATCCTGAGTCGCTGCAGCGGATAAAAAACGAAGATGGAGTCTGCCCTGTGACCTTGAACCTTCGGTGCCGCCATATTCGCCTGCCGATGTGTGAATACAGAGACATGAGTCCGAACGCGCCGACGACGAAGAATAAGAACTGTACGCCATTGTATATAAGAGGAAACAGGGTCCCTAAGAACCTGTCCTTTGTTGAACAATCGGATCCATTAACCCACGAATAACCAGTCGGTACAGCTCTGCTGCCGTACAGAACAGCAGCAGGGGCAGATAACCCCATTGACACAAGGCAACAGCAGAGGAGGACCAAATTTGCCGATCTGGTAGAGATTTGATTCCCGAGTGGATTGCAAATCATTTTATATCTGTCGACTGCCACCACGAACAAAGTGAACCCGGACGCAAATGAGGAGAAGGAATTGACTGTTCTGAGAAGATTACAGGCGACGTAGGACCCAAACGTGTAGTTGTGCATGAGGTCGATTATCTCCCCTGGAATGGCGACGGTGCAGGCGAGGAGGTCAAAGGAGGCCAGAGCCAGGACGAAGCTTCTCGTTGTGTTGTGTTTCAACTTCCTGATGTAGATGTACAGAACCAAAATGTTTCCTATGATTCCAAAAAACATTAACACTGAGAGGTAGCATACTGCTGGTAACATGAGTCTTGCAAATCTGTCGTTTAGACTCTGTAGGTAACGGCCATAGTCAATGTCCGTGAAGTTGTCGAATATTTCGACAGACTGCGTCATATTTTGCGGTAATGACGTCACTGTGTTCGATTTCAACAGCCGATTCGACACATCCGGACTAATTAGTAAAGGGCTGAATGTATCAGTTCCATCTAACACGACATTTTCTATCGTCGTCAACGTCGTATTCTCCCCCCGTCATCTTCAACAATGAGGTCGTGGTGATCTGGATTTAAAAGGCTTTGTCTGCAACGTGATGGCATCCGTGGTTGTCTGTAAATAGAAACAATAGAGGTAGTTCATATGGCGAGATTGTATGTCATCCGAGATCTGTCTAGATCTGTCTAGCGATGCAATTTAATTAAGTTATTTACAGAAGAACCTGCGTCATACGGGGATACCTTGTCCTGATCCCGACATCGCTGTCAACCATCGCTGTGTCGAACATACCGTTGTTTCGAAGTGGAAACTTTGTCTCTGCACTTTCCAACTTTTGTCACCATTTGTGGTTGTGTCAAACAACGGATAACTCGAAGTATTTACTTTCGTTCTTTCCACTTCTCTACAACGGTGTTTGAGTGAGTGAGTATGGTTTTACGCCGCGTTTAGCAATATTCCAGCAATATCACGGTAGGGGACACCAGAAATGGGCTTTACACATTGTACCCATGTGCGGAATCGAACCCGGGTCTTCAGCGTGTCGAGCGAACGCTTTAACCACTAGGCAACCCCACTGTCCCTACATCGATGTTTGACTGACGTTGGCAAGATATTTAGTTTCTGCATAACGTGAGTTTCTGAGACTGTTGATGCAATGTTTTCTAACAGAAACATTCATTAGATAGAAATACGTGTGGAATCAAATTTAAGAAATTATTTAATTTTTCATTATCTTCATGCGACTTTTAAGTTATTTCTTTAGAATGTGTTTCGGTAGATACAGTGAAACACATTTGTGTCGAATTTACAGTCCCGAAGTAAACGTTGGACCCCTTTAATTTTGTCCTCAGAAATCTCAAAGTAGGTCTCCTCAGCTTAGAAACAAAGGTGTTTGACTGTAATCGAGATATTTGACAATTAATAGGAAATTGGTAGTTCATTTAGACACAGGAGGCCGCCTCCGTGGTGTAGTGGTTAGAGCGTCCGCCGGGAGAGCGGAAGGTAGCGGGTTCGATCCCCGACCGCGTCATACCAAAAGACGTTAAAATATGGTACTTGTTGGTCCCTGCTTGGCGCTCGGCATTAATGGGTACAACAAGGACTGGTCGGCTCGGAGTCAGTATACTGTGTCTGAGTGGGGTATTTATGCTTCACTGCGGCATGGTATCTCAGTGAGCTAGCACTATAAAACCAGCTCTGGGCTAGTACAAGCAGCCGCAGATACACATACACACGCATGCACGTCGTCATATGAGCGAAATATTCTCAAGCACGACGTTAAACCCAATTTCACCTCACCTCACCTCACCTCACCTTAGACACAGGATAATGTTTTCCAACTTCTATACTCAGTACTCTAAGTCTCGAGGCTATTTTGTGCCACTTAATCATGCGAACCATTCATTTAGAAATAGCGACAAGTTCTATGCTTTCATAGGAGTCGACTAACGGGATCGGCTGGTCAGGTCTCGGTTGACACGTCATCGTGTCCCGGTTGAGTAGATCGATGCTCATGCTGTTGATCATTTGATTGTCTGGTCCAGACTGGATTATTTACAGACCGGCGCCAGAACTGTGATGCTCTCGGCGTTAAACAACAAACAAACAAATAAACAATCACTCTCTGTAGAGATTAGATTTATGACTATAGTACCCAAAAACTCTTTTCCTTCCTTCAGACAGAACAGTTCCTGTTTGAGATGAAATGCTCAAGAGCTCGCTGATCTTTTCGAACACCCACAGTGCGGCGTTAAACAACTTACAAACAAACATAAACATAGAATGCCACGTTGAGACGAGGTGTTCACGCTGCTATGCCTTGGCGTCAACATTGCTGACAGTAACAAACAGCATCACTGAGACAAAAGCATTTCAACGACGTGAGCAACGACCGGTCAAGTGACAGCTGAGAATGGGGTCAGATACCTATCCATACTTGTTAGCCATTGTGTCCTCTCAATCACTACTTTAACTGCCTCTTATGATAAGTACAGGCTACTTCAGCGTCTCACGTGAGGGAGGTTCCAGTCAGAGTTAGTAGAACGATAACCTGACTTAATATGAGTGAGTGAGTTTAGTTTTAAGCCGCACTCAGCAATATTCCAGCTAAATGGCGGCGGTCTGTAAATAATCGAAACAGCATGAGCATCGATGTGTGCAATTGAGAACCGATGACGTGTCAACCAAGTCAGCGAGCCTGACCACCCGATCTCGTCAGTCGCCTCTTACGACAGGCATAGTCACCTTTTGTGGCAAGAATGGGTTGCTGAAGACCTATTCTACACCGGATCTTCACGGGTCGACTTGATATGAACTGATAAACGTAGTAAATAATCTTTTTTGACTTATATGGGGGCGGTGGGGTAACCTAATGGTTAAAGCGTTCGCTCGTCACGCCGAAGACCCGGGTTCGACTCCCCACATGGGCACAATGTGTGAAGCCTGTTTCTGGTGTCCCCCGCTGTGATGTTGCTGGAATATTGCTAAAAGCGGCGTAAAAACCAAACTCAGTCAGTCAGTTTTTGACTTATGGAATTATAAAGCTTTACAACAGGACAACGAATACCGAAACGAATAAACATATGAAGTATTATGTAGTTACTCTTAGCTTGATAATGGTGTAAGATTCCACACGGAAACATCGCTCTATGCAATAAACAAGAAGTTTATAGCCATTAATGTATGCCTTGTTATTAAATTATTGAGGATAAAATTAATCATACGACAGAAGAAATAGACAACGATGAAGGTGAAATCAATATGCATATATGTGAAAGCGGTTTAAATTTCGTCAGTTTGAAATTGCTCAAGGGGAAGTGTTGACCCGTCAGGCAAATCCTTCCTCTCTGAAAGTAAACAAGCGTAACCGCGCAGCCTAGCCACGAAATAGGTCGAGTTCAGCCATCGTAACTACATTCCGGACCAACGCTTCCGCTTTAAGTACTCGGAGTTTAAATGTATGGCGCCATTTCTGTTGGCCATAAATAGTTTCGGGTTGAATAAATACAGATTTTGAAGTCAGATTGGTGGACATGTTCATGGTACGCATACTTCGATTTAGAAACGTTATTTCAAGAAGAAATTATGCAGAATATTTGCTTTATTTTTATTTAATGTGATCACTTTGCAGTTTTTTAATTAAAACTCACGTAGAATCAGTAACACATGAGGTTTATATCTTAAATAAATATTGTATATGGTTATATATACAAATGTTGGGGCATCGGTCATTGCCGGGTCAACTCGTTTCATTCCGTTATCTGTATAACGGAGAACTGAGACGAGCTGAATGCCCTGACCCCGAGGGTGATTCGTTACCAAGACAATATGTCGTTGTCAGTTTTATTTAGGCCCCTGATGTGAGTGAGTGAGTAGTTTGGGTTTTACGCCGCTTTAAGCAATATTCTAGCAATATAACGGTCGGGGACACCAGAAACAGGCTTCAAACATCGTACCAAAGTAGGGAATCGAACCCGGGTTGGCGGGGTAGCCTAGAGGATAAAGCGTTCGCTACTCATATCTATCAAAGATGTCGCAATCTGCTGCGTTGTGTAACAATGGAATGCCGGAGGGCTATGCCCTTTGGTGGCTGTGGAGTAATCTAGTGGTTAAAGCGTTCGCTAGCCACGCCGAAGGCCCGGTTCGATTCCACAGATGGGTACAATGTGTGAAACATTGAAACACTAGCCTCGCTCAGAAACATTAAAACAATGGCCTCGCTTAGAAACACTGAAACAATGGCCTCGCTCAGAAACATTGAAACACTAGCCTTGTTCAGAAACACTGAAACAATGGCCTCGCTCAGAAACATTGAAACAATAGCCTCGCTCAGAAACATTGAAACAATGGCCTCGCTCAGAAACATTGAAACAATAGCCTCGCTCAGAAACATTGAAACAATGGCCTCGCTCAGAAACATTGAAACAATGGCCTCGCTCAGAAACATTGAAACAATGGCCTCGCTCAGAAACATTGAAACAATAGCCTCGCTTAGAAACATTGAAACAATGGCCTCGCTCAGAAACATTAAAACAATGGCCTCGCTCAGAAACATTGAAACAATGGCCTCGCTCAGAAACATTGAAACAATGGCCTCGCTCAGAAACATTGAAACAATAGCCTCGCTCAGAAACATTGAAACAATGGCCTCGCTTAGAAACATTAAAACACTAGTCGCGTTCAGAAACATTGAAACAATAGCCTCGCTCAGAAACACTGAAACAATAGCCTCGCTCAGAAACACTGAAACACTAGTTACGTTCAGAAACACTGAAACAATAGCCTCGCTCAGAAACATTGAAACACTAGTCGCGTTCAGAAACATTGAAACACTAGCCACGCACAGAAACATTGAAACAATGGCCTCGCTTAGAAACATTGAAACAATGGCCTCGCTCAGAAACATTGAAACAAGAGCCTCGCTCAGAAACATTGAAACACTAGTCGCGTTCAGAAACATTGAAACAATAGCCTCGCTCAGAAACATTGAAACAAGAGCCTCGCTCAGAAACACTGAAACAATAGTCGCGTTCAGAAACATTGAAACAATAGCCTCGCTCAGAAACATTGAAACAATGGCCTCGCTCAGAAACATTGAAACAATGGCCTCGCTCAGAAACATTGAAACAATGGCCTCGCTCAGAAACATTGAAACAATGGCCTCGCTCAGAAACATTGAAACAATAGTCGCGTTGAGAAACATTGAAACAATAGCCTCGCACAGAAACACTGAAACAATAGCCTCGCTCAGAAACATTGAAACACTAGTCGCGTTCAGAAACATTGAAACAATAGCCTCGCTCAGAAACATTGAAACAATAGCCTCGCTCAGAAACATTGAAACACTAGTCGCGTTCAGAAACATTGAAACAATAGCCTCGCTCAGAAACATTGAAACACTAGTCGCGTTCAGAAACATTGAAACTATTTCCTCTCTCAGAAACATTGAAACACTAGCCTCGCTCAGAGCCTGACCATCCGATCCCGTTAGTCGCCTCTTACGACTAGCATGGGTTACTGA